AGAGCTGGGAAGCCCCAGGGAGCAGCAAATCCACGATTTCCTCATGAGGAGTCTGCACACTCAATGTTTAGGGAGAGAAATGTATCTAAAATTAAGTGCACATTGGGCTGATTCAGCCAGGGAATTTTATGTAGGAATATTTTGTTGTTTCTCAGTTATTTTGCATTCAATTAAAGTCCTGGGGGGACTTAGGATATGGAAGCCAGTTTCATGAGAGTCTTTCCAGACCTGGGGTCAGATGCTGGATAAATCATGTCAGTCCTTTTGCATTCACTCTAAAATGGGGAAGGTGCAGCTTTTCCTGACCCATTGAGGTCTCCCCTGGAAGGACAGATCCCTCTGGTCACACAGAGAGTGAGCAGCCAGTCAGTGACAGGGGAACATTTCTGGGTGTTTCAGAGTCCAAGTCAGTCACATCTGAGGGCTGCTTCTGTTTGCACTGGGATATAAAGGGAATATTCCACTCCTTGGCTTCTGGAGATTTCCTGCTATTAAAAGTACTTATGGGAACATTTAATTGTCTTCAGGTGCTGGGTGTCTTCCCTCCACCTAATACACTCACTATGGAATTCTTATTTTAACAATTTGCATTTCTTAGAGTCTATTTCAATAGGATTGGGGTGGGTTTGTGGGAGGGTGGGGGAGAGATTGGTTCTATGGAAGGCATCCATTCTAAACCTCTTACCAGAATTACAGACTGCAGAGATTCTTCACAGTTGGAAAGAAATGAGTAAAGCTGTTATCTCAGAAATTCAGCTTACAGATATGACAAGCACAAGTTGTTATGTAAGTGATTTTACTTGGTCTAGATAACCCAGGGATAAAACTTATAAGTATAGAAACAGAATAACTCTCCTAATGAAACTTAAGAGTTCAAGGGGATCTCAAAGATAGAAGCTGTCAAATTGCTTAGGGCAAAACTTCTTAACTGAGGGAAAAATCCTGCTGATCCTTTGCCAAGTTGCACTAAATTAAGAGCACTTAATATGTAGTAGCCTGTCCTTAGCACCCTGGCAAGTCAAGGCTTTGATTTATCACCCAATTTCCATAATTAGCAAAAATTGCCTGTTACACAGTCAGGTGGGCTGAAATTCAGTGTATTTGATGTGCAGGAATACCATGTGTCAATTTTTTATCCAAAAGTGGATTGATTCCATCCTTCTGTTGTGGCCTGAGCAGATTCTGCCTCCAGGAGCTCCTGCCCCTTCCCTTGGTGTGTCAGGAGGAGAATTCCTCCTGCAGCCTGCCTGTGACTTGCCTGTAGCACAAGGGGAAAATAAAGTTTCCAAGACACCCAGAAACCTCTGGAACTGGAATGTAAAATATTGCTAATATTGGTTTTGTTCTGGGTTTTAATTTGGTTGGGTTTTTTTTCTGGTCAAGAAGACTGTGGCAATCAGGCAGCAAAAATAAGCAGCATGAAGGGTGAAAGTGTCTTATCAGAATTGTGTTCAATAGAAATAATTTTAAAAAGTCATTTCTTCAGCAGGTTATAATCTGCACTGATTTAATGAAGTAGTATATAATTCTCTTAGATTGTCAACAGTCAGAAATCATTGCAGCTCCCAGCCCCACTTGCTGTAGCTGTTGATTTAGAGGAGACCATCTGGCCTGACAGCTTGGAAACCAGTCCAGGGGAAGGAGAATGACAAGCTGAAATATTTGTAAATTGCTCGGCAATTTTGCACTTAGGCATAAAATTCCAAGGCAGGGGATGGTCCGTGGCTGTTGCTGTGCTGTGATAGGGCCAGGATTCAGACAGGCAGAGCATTCCTGGTTCCCAGGGCAAATGGATCCCAAGGCTTAGCAGGGGAGCTGGCAGCACCAGCTCAGGCTCACGGTGACTGCCAGCCCTGCAGAATCTCTGCTGGTGGAGGACAGGTCACATCTGTTTAAGGAAATCACCAGGGTTCAGTCATCCTATTGATCCTGACAGAGCCAGTGTGTGTTAGGAGCCAATAATCAGCTGATATTTCACAATAGCTTGGCTGTGGCTGCCCCTGAGCTGGCTGAGCTGTGCTGAGCTCTGACACTTCTCTGTGGATCCCTTTGAGCCCTGTTTGCTGCGTTTGTTACAGAACTTCCAAGTCTTGTTTTCTGTACTTAAAAGAGAACACAACTGTGTGAGCTTGCTGTGGCACTTTTCCATGCCCATCACTTTCAAAGGAAGCTCAGGATTGTTCTGATTACAATGCAGGGCTGGGGGCAGGAGGGCTCAGACTCCAGAGTCACTGAAGTGGCCTCAAAGGCACCTGAGCCCCTCTGATGTGTTTGCAGAGCAACAACCACGCTGCGTTTGAAGTTTGAGGTGTGCAGAGAACTGAGCAAGCACATGGAGCTGCTTCCAAAAACAGGCTACATCCGGGCTCAGTCATCCCTCAGTGCCCAGCTCAAGTTCCTGCCCAGGTAACCAACACTAACCCAACTCCAATCTGTCAGGATTTCAGCCGGGGCAGTGGAAAAGCTGAGCGAGGTTGTTGTTCCCTCCTGCTGTCCGGGCTGGAGCTCACGGGGCTGCTGCAGTGCGGGTCTGCTGTCCCCTGGCCCCCTGGGAGCTGCCAGATGCTCCCGCAGGAAATGAGCTTGGCAGTGTCCCCCCGTGGCCGCAGCAGCGCTGTGGCACTGCGAGCCCTCGGCTCCTGCTGGGCTGCTCTGCTCTGTGGGAAGCTGTTCCTGCCCAGGGGGAGGTTATTGAGGCAGGTGGCTGCTTCATGGATCACTGATTGAATAATTTCTGGACAAGAACTCCTGTGCTTGCTAATTAAGGTGAGAGTGCTTGGGCTTCCTGTCCATATCTCTCCTCCCCAGGTACATTTTTCTCCAAATGATGAAGGTATTGAATGAATTTCACATGGTGTTTTATGTGACATCTGATGCTAAAAGCTTTATCACAACAAGTTTTGTTTCTCCATTTTACAAAACAGCTACAAATACAAATATAGCTCAGGGATAGGAAACAATTCCAGTTTCTAAAAATTTAAATACCAGAGCTCCCATTGGCTGCTGTTCATTTTATTTTCTTCATCATTGCTCTCCTAAAGAATTTAGCAGGACATTTCTTTTTAAAAAAATAATTAATTATATATGGAATTCAGCGTATTTGGCTCTGACTGCTGCTGCCAAGCTGCTGTTTCATTGATGTGAGTTCTTAGTCCCAGGGATGTGTTTGGATTCTCACAGATGTGCTCAGCACCTCTGGATTCTATCCTGACTGCAACATTTTCACCAGGTTTGTATTCAAAGAACTCAGAGTATTTACAGTTGTTGCAGCATCTCAAATCCCATCAGATTACAACAACAGTAACATGGTGACACATCCCAGTGCCTGAACCTCAGCTGCTGTGAGGCACCGCTCCCTCTCTATACAGACAGAGCTTGGATTTAGAACCTTAATCTTCCTTTAAAAATGGGGAAGCTTCAGAAAGGAGATTTGATGAGATTAAGGCATTTCTGACACACCAAATAAGTATCTGGCTGTTTGAGGGTACAGATGATTTAAAGACCTGAAGCAGGGGAGTGCTGGGAGCTGAGGGAAGCACTGAGCCAGTGACACATTTCCGTCAGGGCTGGCACGGAGCTGCCATTAGGAGCTCTATTAATAGAGCAGCTGTGCCACAAGTGACACAGAGGGAAGAGAAGCCCCCACTCAGCAGTGCTGAGGGAGCTGGGAGCTGCCTGAAGGCCTGGGAGGCTCTGCTGAGTGTTCTGTGCACAGTTCTGTGCACACTGACATTCCTGGGCAGGTGCTCCCAAACCCAGCTCCTGGCAGCTCCAACATTTCCTGTTCAGTTGAAGGCAAGTTCTCTACTCTGCTGCCTTTCAGAATTCCCAAACACCACATCCTGTAGTTCCCTGCATTTGGAATTAGTCCTGGCAATCTAAATTTGATTTGTCTTCTGTGCTTCTCTTTAATTGTGCCATTTTCATAAAAATTTTTAAAGGATTCCACAACCTTTCCCCCAAGGTACAGCAGGTAATTTAGAATCCATCCCTGTGTCCGTACAGTTATAAGTATTTTCTTCCCCCTCTGGATTATTATGAATCAGGTTAATTTCTTCTGCTATTGACATGTCCTGTGACAAAGTAAAAGCTGTAAAAACTCCTCCCTTGCACTTAACCTCAGTTCAATGTGTAAAGAACTTCCCAACATCTTTGAACATCACCCTTATTGCAAAATAACAGCGAGATTTGGGATCACCATGGTGACTGAGTGGGTGTTATTTTTGTTCTTTAACAATACATTAAAGAGTTGCAGGCAATTCCATGAGTAGTAGTAGAACATGAGCACTGTGGAGACCCAAGAAGAGGAAGCAGCTCACTCTGGTGCTCTGAGATATAAATAGAGCAGCAGAGCTAAAAATGCTCCAGGTTTGTATTGTCTTGGCTTGAAGCTCTGCACTGGAGCTCGTGACAGCAAGATGTTCACCTACAGAAAACCTGAATATTCCTTATGAATTCTGAGGCTGGTGGGTGCTCAGGCACTGCTGGGCTCCAGGTTTGTTCATTTGATATCTCTGCTTTGGGGTACAAAGTGGTTCTGCCCCAGGCTGACCATTAACCTCAGAGGGAGCCCCTGCCTGGCCTGGGTTGGTGGTGTGCTGGGGCTGCAGCAAAGATCCACAGCGTTCATATTCTGATTAGAGTGTAAGCTTTTAATTTTTCAGAATTTTAATTGACTGGATGGCATTAAAAAAAAAAATAAAAGATAAATGGATGCTGACCTCTGTCACTGCCCTTAAAATCCTGTGTGTGTCCAAAATCCTGTCTTTAAAAACAAAAAAAAATCCAATATAACTGTACAAGGTCAATGACTGTGACATCAGTGCCATGCAGCCCATGCCCTGCTGCTCAGAGCATTGCCTGGGGGTGCCAGGCTGGAGGAAATCTGGGACAAATCCAGAATATTCCTGACCTGACTGCATCTTCTTTCCCCTGGTCAGGAGGTGGGACCTCACAGGTCACTCATTTTTGATTGGCATTTTCTTCCACCATTCTTTTTCCATTTTCTCTAATATTTGAATTTATTGTACAAGCAGAATTTTAATGAGAATTGCCTTCAGTGAAGAACTGGAGTTGATGCTTAACCAGGTAAATCCTCCAATTTGAGGACAATTAAATGAAGACTAAAAGCTGTGAATAGTAAAACTTTCAGACCTTAAGTAACAGGATTCAGTTTGTTTTTCTTTCTGTTCATAAATAATCCATCCAAAATTCATTATTCCCCTCAGTGAGAAAATAGTCAGAATGTTTTCATGGCACTGACTGGATTTGTTCTTTTGGGTTTCCAGGCAGTCCCTTCCTGAAGATGCAGGGAGTTATTTCAATGCAGAGACAGGAATCCTGGAGGCCCCAGTGACAATCCTGATCATGGACAAGGTCAGGGATTTTTGTGATGCTGATTATCAGACTGACAATTTATGTAAATTATTTTAGTGAATTTTCACTTAATGATACCTAATTTTAGAATAGTTCTTTACTAATTGAGGCTCTGTGGTAATAGTTAAAGATGCTTAAAGTGCTGATATAGATTTGATCATTTTTCTTGTCTCGTATTTGCAATCTAGGAAGTTTAATCCTTTCTCCTCAGTACTGATCTCATGTAACTGTCAAGGAACAGAGTAACTTTTTCTTGCACTTTTCCTTTTGGATGACATTTCATTTAAATCCTGTCCTCACAACCCACAGATGGAGGTTTTTATCCTGTTCTCTTGCATTTGTTTCAGGCTAAAAAAGTGAATTTTACTGTCCATGCCATTGTTACTACTTCTGATTTGGAAATCAGCCCAGCACAGATCAGCTTTGGGTACTGCACGATCTACGAAGCTGTGCAGGCAAATGTCACCCTAACAAACAAATCCATCTTGCCACAGGAGTTTGGATTTGTGGGACTGCCAGAGGTATGGACTGATCCCACACACACCCCCTCTGCTGTCAAAATAGATTTCAGTGTCATGGGAACGTGTTCAGTGTGAGTGTAAATAAATCATGACTGGTTCTTGCATGGGAATCCTGCTGGAGCTCTGTCCTGCAGTGTGTGACTCTCCCTCTGCATTTCCCACACAGTGCAAATCCCTGAGAGGAGATTTTCCTGTTCCTCACCTTCTCCTGTCAGAATTCCTGGGTTTTTACACCAAGAAATCTCCTAAAAGAACACCTGGGACACTTTTACCCCTAAATAAAACAGGCTTGGGGCTGTGGCTGTGGAATGTGCCCACTTTGCACCAAATGCCCAAAGGCCTCCCTTTAAAACACTCCTTGGAACCATCCCAAGCCATGCTTGGGCACTTTCCGAGTGTTAGAAGTTGATGTGGAAGCACAAATTTGATCACAGGAGCTGCTGGGTTCATGTGGGCTGGGTCTCTGAGTAATTTTTTGGAGAAAATTTGTTCTTCAAGCTCCATAGAGCAGGGTGAGGTGATCACAGTGTGAAATGTTGGGCATGCTGGCATCAGAGCTGGAGGACCCTGGCAGTTCACTGGGCATTGTCCTGCTCTCAGCTGCCTTAGGGATTAAAATCAAGGAGTAGCTGAAAGAAATTGTTAACTTGAGCTTCAGGAAAGCTTTACTCCCCAGGATGTGTTTCCTGAGGAGCCTGAAGTGTGCTGGGGACACTTTCTAGAACCATCTTCAGCTCCAGCACAAAGCACTGCCCAGCTGTGGGTGTGGAACTGCTCCTGCCCCTGCCCCACACAGGAATCAGCCCTCAAAGGCTCAGGGCACCTGCTGCCATTTTCACCATATTTCATTCAGTTTTCTATGAAAAGTAAATAAACATTAGAGCAAGGTGATTTCCACAGGTGGGAAGAAGCTGGGGAAGGAATTCTCCTGAAATCTCAGTTAATGGATTTAATGCCTTTTGAGTTACTTTGAGATGAGAAATCTGCCCCTCAGACTCTGGGCACTGACTCAGACAAAAACTTCTCCCTGGAAGGTTTCTCTTTTCCTGACAGTTCAACATTTAATAACAACTTTTTTTAGGTCTTGCTAATATTATCTTATTTTAATTTATTAGTAAACTGATAAATTAATTTATAATTTCTTATTCTGCCATTTTGAAGTTTGTTGAAGTTCAACCCAACGATGGATTTGGAATTATTCTTCCCCTGGAAAGCCTGACACTGGACATAATCTTTAAAGCCACCAAGGCAAAAGAGTACAGCTTTGAGCTCACCTGCAGGACAGAGATCAACAGGTGTGTTCATGGATGGACAGCAGGGAAGCTAAAATCTGAATTTCACTGCTATCCCAGCTCAGAGATTGAATCCCTGCCTGCCCTGGGCAGGAGAGGCTGGATCAGCACCTGGGGCAGGTGGGAATTCTCAGTTGCAGAAGTTGCTCAGTTCCTGTTGGTTTCATTCTTGCTTTTCACATCTGCCTTCACTGAGGTGACTTTTCCCACCCCTCCTGAAGTTTCTCCTTGTCCCACACCAAAGCTCCAGCCCCTCAACCTGCAGTGCTCTGCTGCTTTTTCAGCACAATTACTGAAGGAATTCTTTTTTGTAAAAATGCTCTGTGCTTTAAGCCATTGCTACTGCAATAATGATGGCATAAACTTTGATTTGACTGGATGTATTTCCAGAAGTTCACAGAGGAAGAATTCAAGCAGGGACTCTGGCCAATTGTGCATTAAAAATAGATAGTATTATTGTTCATCTTTAGGCAAAATTCCCATTGCAAGCTTGAAATTCTGCTTAAATAGGGACTACAGGATTAGCTCCCTATTTTCCGGGCTGATTAAGACACTATTTTATGCTGAGACAATTTATCATGTGTTTATTTTTAGACAATTCAAGCTGTCATGCAAAGCAGTTGGAGTCCACCCACCTCTTGAATTGTCTCATTCCTTGGTTCAGTTTGCTGCTACAGCCCTGAACTCGGAGTCTTCAGCCACGGTGGATGTGCTGAGCTCCCACCCTGTGCCCCGGACGGGCACGGGCAGCCCTGGCCCTGCTGGCCCCGCTTCCTTTGAGTTCCACGTGCCCCAGGAGTGCCCTGTGGGCATCGCTCCCTCTGTGGGAACTGTGCTGCCCGGGCAGGTAAATGCACTTTCGGTGTTGGCTGTTGTGCCAAGGCTTTGATCATTGCATCCTCACAAAGGCTGTCGCTTGTAAACACAGCTCCAAACAGCAGTTGTTGTTGGAATAGCTGGAATGTTTTGTATTGTTTCAAAGAATGTTTTAAATCAGACGGGAGGGCTGAGCACCAAATCTGGCTAATGCCTTATGGGAGTGTGTGGTGGATGTCACAGGGGTCCCAGGACCAGGGAGGAGATGAGAATGTTGACTCCATGTTTCAGAAGGCTTGATTTATTATTTTATGATATATATATATATAATATTAAAACTATACTGAAGAAATAGAAGAAAAGATTTCATCAGAAAGCTAGCTACGAATAGAAAAAGAATGATAACAAAGACTTGTGACTGACCAGACAGTCCAAGACAGCTGGACTGTGATTGGCCATTAATTAGAAACAACCACATGAGACCAATCCCAGATGCACCTGTTGCATTCTACAGCAGCAGATAATTATTGTTTACATGTTGTTTCTGAGGCCTCTCGGCTTCTCAGGAGAAAAAATCCTAAAAAAAAAAGGATTTTTCATAAAATATATCTGTGACAGGAGTGTTGTCACTGTGATTTATGTGGAGAATGTTTAAATATCAAAAGTATTGCCCATGTAAACCCAACCCACTGCAACATCCTGGACATCCAAGAGAGCAGCAGGTGCCCTTACCCTGAGGCTGCTGGGGCTCCCTGTGAGCAGGGGTGAACTGGGGGTGAACTGGGGGTGCTCCTGTGGGGCTCTGCAGGTGCCTGGGGCTGAGCTGTGCCCTCACTCCTTCTGAGAATCACTCCTCCTCCTCCTCCTCACTCCTTCTCGGGATCCCTGCTGCTCACGGTGACCCCCAGATGTGTCAGGAAGTCTCTTTTCCCAGCCCAGTGGTTGAAGAAGGAGTCAAAACTCTTTATTTTTCACTCTCAAGGTTGTTTATTGTTTCTTATCTCTAAAATTCTTTCTCCTGACCTGCCAAGGTCCACTCAGCAGGTCAGACAGAGGCACACTGGTGTTATCATTCTATACTAAAATCTACAGGTACATTATTTACCATAACTTCCCAATACCCATCACCTATGTTAGTCAGTGAGCTTCTACTCTAAACCAACCCAAAAATGCCACCATCACCCAGAAGATGGAGGCCAAGAAGAAGAAGAAGGAGAAAGGCTGGACAAGCCCAGATTCCTCCATTGTGCCCCCTGAACCCCCATGCTAAAAACCCCAAAAATCTGTTTTTCACCCTGTGATAAATTCACTATCATCCTACTTAAACTTTCATGGCTTGTAATTCTAAGGTTGTAATTCTAATTCTAAGGTTGGTGATTGTTTTTTCCAAGGGCTCAATCACAGTCACAGGGCTCTGGGGCTCTGTGCCAGGGTCTCTGAGCCCCCTGGGCAGGGGCTGGAGCCCTGCAGGGCAGCCAGAGGCATTTCCTGGGCTCCAGCCCCTCCTGTGTGTGCTCTCCATGGCAGAAAAGCTCCGTCCGAGTGTCCTTCAGGCCGGCGCTGCCCGAGCAGCTCGTCAGGGAGGAGGCAGCGCGGAGGCTCAGCACAGCAGCTGTGCCACAGGCAGCAGCACAAGTAAGGAATGCTAAGAGCAGCACATGCTGCTGGTCTGCCACTTCCAGAGATTTGTTGCTCTGGATGGTATTTTTATCATAAAATTATTTGTATATTAATGAAGCCCAAGCTTGTGGTCCATGGGGGACCTGCCCATGAAGGGTGAGGGATGCATCATGTGTGCACTCAGTGTGTGGCCTGTTCACTGAGCAATCATTTAATTTTGTGCTCACAATTATTCCTAGAGGGTTTTATTGGCAACTGAAATACTCTTAAAAAAAAAAGAAAATAAAAATCTTCTAAACTTGCTGAAGATTTACAGCATCCATGGAATTTATATGCAACCCCTAGTTCAGTTATGTGAGCAGCTGTGGTTGTCTTGGATTGGGAGATAAACAGGTAAAATTCCCATGAGAGACTCATCTGCTCCAAGAGGAGACCTCTTACTCTAAGAGGGAGTAAAATATGTCCATTTCAACCCAATTTTTAGACTTTATACTTTTGGAAATTTGTCTGTAGCAGCTGCTGTGTGTGTGGGTACACACAGTACCCATCATCCTGCTGTCCCCTGTCCCCTGCTCTGTGTCACCTCCTTGCTCTGTGTCTTTGCTCACTCCTCTCTTGCTCAGATTCCCAGTGATCCCCCTCAGTCTCCAGTGGGCAAAAAGAAGAAAGATTCAAAGAAAGAACAAAAAGAACGAAATAAATCGAGTGTTTCCATCTCCAGAGGAAGGGCTGGAAGCAGGAAAAGCCTGGCTTCTGTACATAGCCCTGAAGAGCCAAAACCAGAAGAGTTAAAGCCTGAGTAAGTCAACAGAAGCATCTTGTACTACACAGACAGCATTCTCTTTAGAAGTAGTTTAATAAATCTACTAAAACCGTAGGTAGACAAGAAAGCAAACTGGAGAGGGAACAGCTTCAGCTGTGTTGCAGAGGCTGTTTCCAAAATTAGTGCTGCTTGTGAGCCACACAGCTGTACCCTCTCATGTGAGGCAAAGAATCCCTTTATGCATCAGAAGGATTGAAGACTTCAAAGAATCTGTCAGGGAGCAGGAGCTGGGGCTGTGCGGGGGCGGGGCTGAGCCAACACGGGTTTATGGAAGGGGCAACAGCAAAGCTCAGCTTGGGCACCAACAGAAACCCCTCAGAGAAACCTCTGTGAGCACATCTACAGAGGCAGCTGATGGCCCAAACCCATGGCTGAGAGGAATTTCTGTTTTTAATTAGAGGGTTACACAGTCCAGCACATTAGTCATGGTCAGCGTCAGTGCTGGCAGGGAAATGCTGCTGGAAATGTGCATGTGAGCCCTCCCTGTGCAGTGTGAGCACCTCAAACAGCATTGCTGCCTGCAGCCTGGGACACTCACATGCAAACTCTGATCCTTGAGGGCCCCTGTAGAGCAGGAGATTCAGCTTTCAGAGGCACACTTCTGCCCAGGCTCAGGAATTTGGAAGTATTTACAAGTAAATACATACTGAAGCAACAGGCACTTGGCTGTGCTGGATGTTTTGACATCTTTTACTACAATTCCATGTTCATTGCAATCCATTAATTATAATTTTTAAACACTTTCAGCAGAGATTGTGAAAAAATTCCCTATTTTAGAAGTATTGCCTACAGACTGCATTAGAGGAATGTGATCCTGTGTGTTTACATGTCATTGAGATGTAGAAGTACTGGAAGACACTGAAATTCTTGAAGTATTCAACCAAAGGAAATTGTATGGAGAATAAAAATGAAGAACCCAGATAACAAATGTTACATCTTTGGTGTAACATTTGTTATCTGGGTTCTTCATTTTTATTCTCTTGTAGGGTGGGTCCATTACTGACAGTCATGTAATTTCACTGTTACATTCCATTTTGAATGTGTGACTAAGAAACAATAATCACAAATAGCTCAGCAGATATTTATTTGATGTTTTTTTGCTCTCTCACTCACTGAGATAATTCCTATTCCTGGATTCTCTAGTTCTGATGCTTATAGGGCAGCCCAGGCTTTCCTGACGAGGAGTTTCAGAGGGAGTTTTAGCAAATACATCATCCCATGCTCTGTTGCAAGTGGCCATGCCAGTGGAGAGGAGGGCTCTGGGAGCTTGACCTGCAGGTGGGTGCATGGGATAACCCAGAGCTGGGAGGGGGAAATGGTGCCCTTGCTGATTTATTCATTTGGGGGAGAAATTTGTTTTCTGCTCTTAATTACTTCATAGCTCAGTGGTAGAAACTCATGCTCCCAGCCCACCAGTTGGATAAGAATCAAACACATGAATATCAAAGCAGCTGAAGGAATAATTGTGTGAAAACTTTGAGGCAGCTGTAGCTCAGGCACAGTCAGTCACCCAGCCCTGTGCTGGGCTGGCACACCCTGGGCAGGAGCAGATCCCTGGCAGTTGTTGGTGTGTCTGTGCTCCCACAGCTCTGCCCTCTTATTCCCAGCTCTGCCCTTTTATTCCCAGCTCTGCCCTTTTATTCCCAGCTCTGCCCTCTTATTCCCAGCTCTGCCCTCTTATTCCCAGCCCTGCCCTTTTATTCCCAGCTCTGCCCTCTTATTCCCAGCTCTGCCCTTTTATTCCCAGCTCTCCCCTTTTATTCCCCAGCTGCCTTTGCTCTCTTGCAGCCCTCACAACACCTTGTACCTGGAGCTGCACTGCCCTGCTGTGGCCCCTCCTGTGCTGATCATGTCAGACTCTGGGATCAACACAGCCAATTTTGGGGATGTTGCTGTAGGTATGGAGTTTGAATTCTGCTTTGGAGTTATTTCTCTCTGACAGTGAGTTCTTGCCAGCAGGTTTGCATTTTCAAAAGTCAGGATAGAAATTAGCCCTTAGTGGTATTTAGGTGGAAAATAAGGAGCCTCTGGCCACTGAGGCCCATGGAAGAGCAGATCTGATCCCCAAACAGGGACCTGGAAGCTCCAGAAGTGACTGGCCCAGTCTGAAAGCATTTTGGTGAGCTTTGAGTGGTGCCTTAGCCATAGGCCTGGGTTGATCTGGCTCAGGCAGGAGCAGGAGTGAGGGGGAGGAATGGGAGGGATGAGCATCCTCCCTTTGGGAAGTGTTTTCATTCCTTGCAGGCCACAGGATGATGAAGAGAATTACAGTAGAAAACATCTCCCCAGGGAAGCTGGAGGTATCCTTGTCTGGAGCATGTGAGCTCAGCCTTCAGCCTCTGCTCAATCACACTCTGCCTCTGCAGGAGGAACTGCTGCACACCAAAGCACCAGCTCACCTTCTCTCTTGAGTCACTGACCTCTCAAAGGCTTTTAGATGCTTAGTTCAGACCTAAGCCATGGAAACAATATGTAGAATCTATTCTCATATCTTTTTTCTCAATCTTTATGAATGTTTTTCCTTGAGTTGCACTGTTTAGCTGGGATTCTCAGTTCTGAATCCCAATGGCCCCTTCCTGTTGGTCAGAGCAGTTGGAACACTTGAGCCAGGTGAAAACAAACCCCTGATCATCTCTTTTTGTCCAACTGAGGATAAATGGGTGAGTAAAAGATACAAGAGCAGTGAAGAGAGGAGAGACAAAGTTCCCTGTCCAACATTTGGATCTTGTCTCAGTTCTGGGGTGGTCCCTTGGGAGGGATGGGGGTCCCTGAGCAGATGCACTAACCCAGGCACCCTCTGGGCAGTTCTTGGAAACTCTGGACATCCAGGTGGCACAGAGCAACCTGAGCCTCCCCCTGTGTGGGCACGGGGTGGTGCCCAGCACTGAGTGCTCCGTGGGAGAGGTGCTGGACATGGGATACGTCATGGCCAGGGACACCGTGACTGCCACAGTGCAGGTAAGGCCTCTGAGCTGGGCTGCAGAGCACAGCACAGCTCCTGTCAGGAGGAGCACAACACAAACTCCTCCCAGATTCTGTCCAAGTGTGTGTGTCAATAACCAAACCCCAGAATTGATGCAGAGGGGGGTTGGTGTGGCATGTTGTGGGCAGCACTGATTGTGCCTCTGGTGGCACCTGGGGACAAAGAGCTGCACTAATGCAGCAAAATAAATTCAGCCCCTTTGCAAACTGTGGATCTTACAGGCCTGAGAGTCAATTTCCTTCATGCAAATGCTGTTGTGTGAATGAATGTCCCCAGATAAAGAACACTTCCAGCATGACCCTGCTGTTCTCTGTGCAACTGGAGTCGCTCTCACCAACGCGGGACAGAGACCGGCAGAAAATCCCCTCCTTTCTCACATCCTCTCTGCAGAGAACAGAGATTGTTGGTAAATTTCTTTTATTCTTTGCTCTTTTTCCTCTGCTAAAGACTCAGGAGGTGGAAAGCAGCATCACTGTGTCCTCTTAGGTGCACACAACTGTCAGACCTGGAGCATCACAGCCCTGAAATTAAAGACTTCATTTTGCTCCCCAGTAGGAGCTGTAAAAATTCTTTCAATATGGGGAGCTGTAAATGTATGCAGCCTGAGCAAATACCCACAAGTAAGGAGATATTGGTGTTTAAATCTAAATAAACCCACACAGTAATTGCACATTAAAGATTCCATTTAAAGATGTCCAGATCTGTAAAAACACGTCAGAATATAGGAAGGGTTGGTGATGCTCTTCAGTTCCTCTGGAGATTAATGCATCAAACTGATGGATGGATGGATTTATCTGGTGTTCCTAACACCCTGTTTTGCTGCAAAGCCATGTATCAGCTCTTATTTATTTGCTGTTCCAACAAAAAATAAATGGGTTTAAAATTTATGAAGAAGTAAAATGGAGCTGTCCTCCTTTCTTATCTGTATCCTCATTTTTATTTACCAGGAACACAGAACTATAATGGCTTCAGTGTGTTCAGGGTCTCTCCAACAGAAGGAAAAATCGAGGCTGGGATGAGCCAGGATCTTGTGGTTACCTTCAGTCCTGATCACGAAAGTCTCTACTACTCCGACCGTCTCAAGGTTCTGCTCTTTGGCAAGGTGAGACAATCAGGATTATGAAAACAATCTAAATATTAGATGAACTCATGTAGGGAGGAAAGGGCACGTTTGGGGCCCTCTGACATTTTTCAGGATTAGATATTCAGTTATGAATTGATAAAAACAGTGACGTGGGGTCCATCCCGTGGCACAGTCATGAGGGGACGGAGCTGAGCACACTCCAGGGGGCTCCTGCAGGGAGCCTTTGATGGCAGAGCAGGGGCAGAGGGAGC